ATATCTATGCGTTCAAACGGATATGTTAGCGTTTCTGTAATAGTCATTGCACTTTCGTACGATCTTCTCACTGTTTTATTTCTTTGACACATTTCACAATTGTTAATATAATTTGTTACATCGTCCTTGACTCCTGACCAATCGAAGTATTCATGAATTCTATTTAAAGTTTCATTTATACCCTTATGTCCGTACGCTGGCGGGTCGTGATGAAGGGAAATGATATGTTGTTTACTGTCCGGATTACCTGAATTCTTATAGGTGTTATTAATTTGTATTTCCTGATCGTCGGGAAAATTTAGTTTGTTTCTAAGATAGTTAATAACTTTTATTAATGTATCGTTTTCTTCTTTTGATACGGTAAATCGCAACAGATCATTAGAAGATGCCAAAGTTAAAATAATTAAGACGTTTTCAAATAATTCTCTAGGATTTTGATAATTGTTTGTTACATATGTTAAGTTAGGGTTTGATTGCGATTGTTTAAGTTCGATATTTTCATTGAAACTGGGATCTTCTGTGTAGTGAAGTTTACCTTTTTTATTTTATCAGATGAGAAGAGAATTTCGTAAGTATGATTTTTATCGTTTAATTTTCCTACTACGGTCTTAGGTGTGTCATAAGATCTTTCGTCCGTAAGAAATATATCATAATTAATACCCTCTGTTGTATCCGTAACACTTCTTTCAAACATATTAATTTTTAATGAATTTTGAATTTCGGGTTCAATTTTGATTCTAAAAAGATCATACGCGTTTCTATTCAATGTTCCTTTTTTAATAAATGACTTCATAATTGTACTCTTCAAGTTTTAAACGCCATCTAATTAGTTTGGAGCCCGGATCTTTAATACTAAACAACCACGTAAGTGGACAGTTATCCGTTATAATTTTGAACTGGTTGGTTCATTATTTTTGTTTTAATAAAAGGTGTTGTTTCTACAAGAGTTATAATTTTGTTGGTGGAAAAACTGCTTAAATTTTGAAATAAGTTATTTTCGGAGTCTGAATCGCTTAATTGAACAAACAATCCCCGTATTGTTCGTTCTCCGATAAGTTTAAAGGTTTGGTCTGTTCGAGATATTCAATTTCGTGTTTGGATTCAGAATCTGTTTCTTTCTCAACTGATTCTACCGACTGAATTTTAGGTTTTGAAAACCCCTTAAATGGTGTACCAGAAAAACTATGCTTTTGGTTAAAAGAGTTTGGCTTAAAATTAGAGGTACTTGGCTTAGGAGTACTTTCGGCGGAAGACTGCATGTTAGTTTTAAATTTATGGTAATTTGAATATTGTTTAGGAGAAATTTTGTCTATTTTAACCTTCTGATTTTTATATTCCAAAAATTTTTGTCTTTCCTGTCTTTCTTTCATTTGTTTATCTATTTCATTCGCTAAACTAAAAGCTTTTTCTAATGTTACAGGTTTTGATGGTAAAACTGCTATCTCTAACTCATGATTTATGTTCATTAAAAATACAGTTTTGGCTAATTTATTAATAAATTCTGTAACAGCGACAATTTCTTCTTCTGTTTCGTAGTCTTCTGTTGCAGAAACTACCAAGTTGTCTCTAATCAGTGAAATTTTATTGTAAATGTCTTTAACGCTGCTGTTTACTTTGGGTCTATAACGAAATAGATCTCCTACTAAACTTTCAGTACTTTTTTCTAAACCAAAATTATTTTCAAGGTGGCGTTTAATATCTGGCCATTCATCTACTCTTTTAGAAAGAATAATTTTGCTTGACCTACCAGTTAATTTTGTTAACGAAATACTGAGTACCTATCGCCAGCACCGCAATTACTAAAAACAACATCCACATTTTCATTAAACTGATGGAGAGGTATGTCTAATCATAACTTAGGAATTAACTCCGTCAATTCCCTTCTTGAAAAGTTTCTTTCCTCGTTTGAGGTCATGTTTCCATAACTATAGTAGAAATTTATATAATTTAGAAAAAGTAAAGGTATTTGTAAACCTGTACAGTTTGGTAAATTGGTTATTTAAAGGATCACCAATCTTGTCAATAAGATGTTTGCTATGTAGAGGTGCAAGTTCATGGGTCCGAACAGGCGGAAATACAATTTTTGATTTTCCCTTAGTCGGAATGTCTCCTGAAGGTGTACCTAAGTACGAAAGGTTTCTATGGACAACACGATGTTCCACTTCTCCAATGAGTTCTCAATGTTAAATTACTTTTGTTCGAAAAAAAGGGTTCACCACTATATTCCCGAAAAAGTTCACAAATCTGTTCGAGAAAAGTTCACCATCAAATTCCCGTAAATATTCACTAACCGCCTACCGACTGCGCCAACTGATACGATAAAAGTTCCAACAAAAGAGTTTTTAAAAAGAACTTTATTTTACAATTACAAGATAATGATTATCAGACCTAGTCTGAAACTAGAATTATTTAAGTTTTCATAAAAGAATACAATATAGATAATTTGTCTAATAAGCATTTCTAAATAAAATGATAACTAGCTGTAAATATGAGAAAATAGTGTCCTTAAAAAGAATCGTCGTATTTAGCATGGAACGTAGATGCATATTATCTTATTAAAAGTGTTTATGATCAAAATGAAGTTGAGGACATTGTCGTTTCTTATGTTGGGGTCATTTCCAAAAAAAACAAAATAGGTACTACTCGGTAGAGGATACTTAGCAGAATGTGTTCCTAGTCTCATAGATATTGTCAATGATAAGCATAAAATAGGTAAAGTCAGAAGGAAGGCTGATTGAACATTGTTAACTCCTTATACTGCAAAGTAGAATTTAACAATTTGGGATTATAAATTACTGTATTTGCCGTAGAAATAGTTGAATTTATTAGGTTACTTGCAATAATCTCAATTTTAGACATGTTTCTTTAAAAATTATTTCAAGTTTCTTAATTATTACAATTAAATTTGTAATATCAGGTAAAATACCCAGTAAATTTATTTCTGCATTTCCTCCGTATAATTTCCTACTGTGGTTAATTTTAATCATTTTTATTACAGCAGCTTTTTCGCACAACATTGTTACAATAGTGTTCTACTATTGTTGTTGAGGGTTGCTCCAATAGCAACACCCATGTTCCCATGCATATTTTTTCTAAAGACTAACTGGTGAGGAACTGAATTATGAATGTACCTATAGTTTCTTAGTAAATTACACGTTACTTTGGCAATGATGGTTACCTCAGCCATTTCGTACGTATGTTTCATATGGAGTTGCACGATTAGCAATTGTGCTTATTAAGAATTAATGTAATTAATGTTTAAGTACCTTTCTGACGTTTCGTCTGTTACTTATGTATTAAGTTGTAACTTTTTATTGCGATAATATTCTTTACTTTTATTTGATAACAGCTTTATCAACTATGGATTGAACGGGTTGGCCGTGCTGAAACCAGTGGACCGTGTAAGGAAATCGTATCGAGTGTGCGAGATCCGCTTCGGATCGGAGAGTTTGTATCCTGGTCGCTGGAACAAATCCACCGTAAGGTGAGATGACGTTCCAACTTTATTTTTACTCAACGCTCCTACAGAGAGAGGTAACTAATATCGTTTCTTCAACATGTCCTCCATACTTTCATTATGTTGTAGAGAATTGCATTACAAACAATTGTGTTTTTGACATTAGTAAACCAATTTCTGCCTAGATATGATTTCTGATGGTTATGGAGCCCACATTAAATATTGAAATGTACTGATATTATTCATTTGCTTTTTCACATGTATCTTTGTGCGGTTCAACTTTTTTTGTCCAAAAGGCAATTTTCCTTCTTCAGCACATATTGCCACAAATTTGTGCCGATGTAAATATTACCAGAGAGGTGGAGGTAGCGCTCTAACACTATGCAAAATGATAGTCGCTTCCACTGGACCCACCATGATCTGAACCTATGGGTGGTGCAGGATATTTCTAAATTCCCCCTCTTTACGTGAATACGAAATATAAATAGGGTACTGCAAGGGAAGGAAAAGGTGGAAACATCGCGGGATCCCATGAAACAATACGCGATGAGGAGGTATCAGAACATCAAAAGTTTCTACGTAGCAAGTAGAGAACCGGTAAGGGTCATACATGTCAGTAGATAGGCTATGACAGTTCGGCCTCAAAATCCCATGTATTTTCTTATGAAGGTTCAATTTCGTCCTTTTTCGACCGTTTTACCCCTTCCACTCCCACTCTGACGTCAGGGCCATCAACCATCTTTGACAGCTGGCATTGTCAGGCATCCTTGACAGCTGTCATCGCCGGCCATCTTTGATATCTGTCATTGCCGGCCATCTTTGACAGCTGTCATTTTCAGCCAGGGCTTCGCTCTGCTACTATCGTCTGCGACTTTGAATTTTCCGCTATCTTCGCTGCAGTTTGTCCTCTCGCCGCCAGATCTCTCGCCGCCTTGTTGCGACATTTTTTTTTTCTGAAAAAAAACTGTGAACAGAGTTCTGGTTCGATCCAAGGCAAAACAGCTTTAATGCTGCTAGACCGACGTGTTAACCAACCGACTAAACATAGAGTCTTCAGTGCAACGGTAACATAAAAGTAAATATTGCACACCGTTGATGTATTTACGCTAACAATACGCCGCGCGTGCGAATGTTTGCGTGTATATGTGTGTGTCTGTGTGCGTGTGTGTGTGTGTTTGTTTGTAAAGTGTGCGTGCGTCTGTGTGAGAGCATCCTAAGCGACCTTGATCGAATTATAAGTACAATTGGCGGCTATCTGCTATGTATGTATGTACCAGTATGTGTATGCATGTGTACCATGAGAGTAGTTATAATTAAAGAAGCTTTTGTTTTTCGTTTACCTCATTGCTAATGAATGTAATTAATAATATTTATTGACCTTGAATGTTACATAATAAAAATTTATCGTTTAATGTGCAGTGAGCATGTGTTGGTGAAACGCAGTATTTACACACTAACGTAGATAGACACATGCAATGCTTTATTCATATGTGTAAGCGTATAGATATTCGTATTAAGTAACGGAATCTATAAAGAAGAGACGAATAATTCATTTGCTTTTATTAAATAAGTGTTTGATATACAACGGATGGTTGACTAAACAGGTGACTTATTATTATTACCATATATGATTAGAACAGCGAAAATAAATTAACATTACTCATATACACCTGGTATTTACCTATGTACATCAAATTTGCTTTACCTATACCAAAAATTAACTTCTATTTTCCTAATATTAATGCCTATTATTACACTAATTACTTTGTTACGATAGGAAAACAAACCCGGACTGTGCCGTACAGTTTATATTAAGTATATACATATATTCAAAAACTTGAGCTTAACAGCTAAAAACAACCTATTCTAAGGATTCATCGCCGTCGTCCTTAATGAAGTAATGTCCCCAGGGAAAGGTCTCATACGATCCCTTAATTAAATACCTTTTATCGTCGTGGGGATTTAACGCGATCTTATCTTGTGTTATGGAAAAAACTGCATGTTTTTCGGATCTTATTAAATTTTGAGAAATGTATTTAGTTTTAAAATTGTCAACACATTCGACGAAGTCGTCGAGCGTAATGACCCGTTTAATAACAGACCTTTTAATACCTTTAATCTTTTTCGTCAAGCCGATTTCTGTTCTAATCGCGTTGCTATTATTTACAGCCTGTTTAACGGCGTACATTTTCGATCTCAGACCGATAAATAATTCAACTGGTACGCCGTTAAACTCGTCTTTCATCATACCTAAAACTTTTTTATTTACCTGTGGGATGTTGTACTTGTTGTCTTGCGGATAATCGCTGGTATCAAAACGTGTANCTTTCATTTTTTTCTAAATTATTATTTTTATTCAAACTTAGCGCTACTGGGACATATAAGCAAATAAGTAAGCAAATAATTGCTTTTGATATGCGTCTGTTCAATTTTTCCATTACGATTCGTTTAAACACTATAGGCATGTACGACTTTCTACTTATATTAAATACTATTTTATTGTTCAATTTAATAAATTGACGCAAGTGAACGAATTCACCGATAACTAGAGAATGTAATCGTATGCCTGTATGTTTCAATGTCGAAGTACAGTGAATACTACTTATAATGAACACGAGCAGAAAGATAAAATATTACTTTAACCATTATTATTCGTTACAGTAAAAATCGCTGTTTTCGTGCGATTTCTACGTTCGATGAACAATTGGCCTTAGCTGTCTGTAGGTACCTATATGAAACCCGTTGGAAATGCATAATTTTTAAGAAAATCATGTATTAAGCTTGCTTAAAAAACATTTTTGGATTGTATTTTTCCTTAAAATTCTATTTTGCTATTTGGTTTCGACTATAAATGCGGCGATCATTTATCGGCAGACAGTTTCCGGTAAACTTTTGCTACTTGAATCAAATTGATCGAAAAATTATCGTAATAATTTTATGCAGTTTACATCACGAGGTAGGCGGCAAACCTAATACGTAATACATTTTGATGTGGAGCTGTTCATAAAATCCAACATGGTTTAGACCTCCGGAATAATTTCAGAAATATGATAGTAGATTGTAGATGCAACTGAAATACAGTATTGAAGGCAGAACGTTTTATAAGAAAGAAATACATAACACAGTCGATGTAGGTATAACTTGTTTATGAAAAAGGGTTAACTTTCGTCGTCCTTATTGTATGTAAGGGATATGAAAGGGAGTTTATAATTTATCATCTTTACAGATTCAGTTTTCGTTAGTGGCGTGGTCAAGTTAGGAGTTTTTTTAATACTAATCGACTCACGTGTGCAGTAGGAAGGCTAACAAAGTTATACCAAAGTTTTAGATGTTAGTATAAGATTGTTTTCTTCCTATAGGGTCAACGACTTCGTAAATAAATTGTTGACTAATGAAAGTTTGAAATAGTTTCTTGAAAGCCCTAAATAAAAACATATGCACGTTTTAGGTAGGCAAATATAATAATTTTATCAATAATCTTTAAAAGCAAAACAAAAGAGAAGCACTTGGTCAACTTCTAGTAAAAATCGTTTATTAAGTTTTGAATAATTTGGTTTTGTCAGTCATACTTTGTATTACAATGATAAACATTTCGTTTAAAATAATAATCTCTGACAAAGTGGAAACACACTTCATGTAGGTATAGAAACTGCAATTTTAACTGTAACGAATAATAATGGTTAAAGTAATATTTTATCTTTCTGCTCGCGTTCATTATAAGTAGTATTCACTGTACTTCGACATTGAAACATACAGGCATACGATTACATTCTCTAGTTATCGGTGAATTCGTTCACTTGCGTCAATTTATTAAATTGAACAATAAAATAGTATTTAATATAAGTAGAAAGTCGTACATGCCTGTAGTGTTTAAACGAATCGTAATGGAAAAATTGAACAGACGCATATCAAAAGCAATTATTTTCTTACTTATTTGCTTATATGTCCCAGTAGCGCTAAGTTTGAATAAAAATAATAATTTAGAAAAAAATGAAAGAATAATGATGACCGTGCAGTCTGATTCCGCTAGAACTGAACCCCAATCGTGTTTAGTAAATAATCAGCAAGAATATGAAAGAGCAGTTGAAAATTTTAACAGTCGATCATTAATAATAATTGTTAATACAACAAAAATTGAACAGAACACCATAAGTAAATTACCTAACTGCAATGAATTTAATAAAATGACATCGAATGATTTTATATCACAATTTTGGAACTGGTTGGCTGCATTTGTAGGTTTGGTTGCATTCCTACTTATTGTAATAGTCAAAATGGAATAATGAACGGCAATAATTGTTTAAATAATACATATCAGTTTAAGAAATTATTACGTCTTAAAGTGAATATTACGGATATATTTTATGGACACAATTTATGAAAGTTCATATACTAGAAATCACACAACAAAATAGAATTGTAACGAAAAATACTATGCAATAATGTTTTTTTTTAAGGATGCTAAATTTGCTTGATACATGATTTTCTTAAAAATTATGCATTCTTTACGAACGCTTGTCGGGTTTCATATAGCTACTTAGGTACCTACAGACAACTAAGGCAAACTGTTCATCGAACGTACAAATCGCACAAAAACAGCGATTTTTACTGTAACGAATAGTAATGGTTAAAGTAATACTTTATCTTTCTGTTCGTGTTTTTCATAAGTAGCATTCATTGTATTTCCACATTGAAACATACAGGCAGACGTTTACATTATCTTGTTATCGGTAAATTCATTCACTATACGTCAACTTATTAAATTGAACAATAAAAGGTAGTACAAGTAAAACGTTGTACATGCCTATAGTGATTAAACGGATCGTAATGGAAAAATTATACAGACGCATCTCAAAAGCAATTATTTGCTTACTTATTTGCTTATATGTCCCAGTAGCGCTAAGTTTGAATAATAATAATTTAGAAAAAAATGAAAGTATAATGATGACCGTGCAGTCAAATTCCGCTAAAACTGAACCCCAATCGTGTTTAGTAAATAATCAGCAAGAATATGAAAGAGCAGTTGAAAATTTTAACAGTCGATCATTAATAATTGTTAATACAACAAAAATTGAACAGAACACCATAAGTAAATTACCTAACTGCAATGAATTTAATAAAATGACATCGAATGATTTTATATCACAATTTTGGAACTGGTTGGCTGCATTTGTAGGTTTGGTTGCATTCCTACTTATTGTAATAGTCAAAATGGAATAATGAACGGCAATAATTGTTTAAATAATACATATCAGTTTAAGAAATTATTACGTCTTAAAGTGAATATTACGGATATATTTTATGGACACAATTTATGAAAGTTCATATACTAGAAATCACACAACAAAATAGAATTGTAACGAAAAATACTATGCAATAATGTTTTTTTTTAAGGATGCTAAATTTGCTTGATACATGATTTTCTTAAAAATTATGCATTCTTTACGAACGCTTGTCGGGTTTCATATAGCTACTTAGGTACCTACAGACAACTAAGGCAAACTGTTCATCGAACGTACAAATCGCACAAAAACAGCGATTTTTACTGTAACGAATAGTAATGGTTAAAGTAATACTTTATCTTTCTGTTCGTGTTTTTCATAAGTAGCATTCATTGTATTTCCACATTGAAACATACAGGCAGACGTTTACATTATCTTGTTATCGGTAAATTCATTCACTATACGTCAACTTATTAAATTGAACAATAAAAGGTAGTACAAGTAAAACGTTGTACATGCCTATAGTGATTAAACGGATCGTAATGGAAAAATTATACAGACGCATCTCAAAAGCAATTATTTGCTTACTTATTTGCTTATATGTCCCAGTAGCGCTAAGTTTGAATAATAATAATTTAGAAAAAAATGAAAGTATAATGATGACCGTGCAGTCAAATTCCGCTAAAACTGAACCCCAATCGTGTTTAGTAAATAATCAGCAAGAATATGAAAGAGCAGTTGAAAATTTTAACAGTCGATCATTAATAATTGTTAATACAACAAAAATTGAACAGAACACCATAAGTAAATTACCTAACTGCAATGAATTTAATAAAATGACATCGAATGATTTTATATCACAATTTTGGAACTGGTTGGCTGCATTTGTAGGTTTGGTTGCATTCCTACTTATTGTAATAGTCAAAATGGAATAATGAACGGCAATAATTGTTTAAATAATACATATCAGTTTAAGAAATTATTACGTCTTAAAGTGAATATTACGGATATATTTTATGGACACAATTTATGAAAGTTCATATACTAGAAATCACACAACAAAATAGAATTGTAACGAAAAATACTATGCAATAATGTTTTTTTTTAAGGATGCTAAATTTGCTTGATACATGATTTTCTTAAAAATTATGCATTCTTTACGAACGCTTGTCGGGTTTCATATAGCTACTTAGGTACCTACAGACAACTAAGGCAAACTGTTCATCGAACGTACAAATCGCACAAAAACAGCGATTTTTACTGTAACGAATAGTAATGGTTAAAGTAATACTTTATCTTTCTGTTCGTGTTTTTCATAAGTAGCATTCATTGTATTTCCACATTGAAACATACAGGCAGACGTTTACATTATCTTGTTATCGGTAAATTCATTCACTATACGTCAACTTATTAAATTGAACAATAAAAGGTAGTACAAGTAAAACGTTGTACATGCCTATAGTGATTAAACGGATCGTAATGGAAAAATTATACAGACGCATCTCAAAAGCAATTATTTGCTTACTTATTTGCTTATATGTCCCAGTAGCGCTAAGTTTGAATAATAATAATTTAGAAAAAAATGAAAGTATAATGATGACCGTGCAGTCAAATTCCGCTAAAACTGAACCCCAATCGTGTTTAGTAAATAATCAGCAAGAATATGAAAGAGCAGTTGAAAATTTTAACAGTCGATCATTAATAATTGTTAATACAACAAAAATTGAACAGAACACCATAAGTAAATTACCTAACTGCAATGAATTTAATAAAATGACATCGAATGATTTTATATCACAATTTTGGAACTGGTTGGCTGCATTTGTAGGTTTGGTTGCATTCCTACTTATTGTAATAGTCAAAATGGAATAATGAACGGCAATAATTGTTTAAATAATACATATCAGTTTAAGAAATTATTACGTCTTAAAGTGAATATTACGGATATATTTTATGGACACAATTTATGAAAGTTCATATACTAGAAATCACACAACAAAATAGAATTGTAACGAAAAATACTATGCAATAATGTTTTTTTTTTAAGGATGCTAAATTTGCTTGATACATGATTTTCTTAAAAATTA